CAGAAGCCGAAGAGCCGTCACTGAGCCGAACGAAAAGTTGGGAGGAATTAGAGAACGAACAAAGCCAAAATTCCAACCCTGGACAGTTGGAGTGGCTCTAAATTGGATGGAGGGGAGCTTTAATGCGAGGAAGGCCAAAGCCGCGAGCGACAGTTGACTGGGCAGATGAATGCAATCCGATGGCGAGCGGCCACGTCGGAGAGAAAACACGGGAAGTGTTTTTCGGAATGAAAGACGAGAACCGAATCTCTTCCTCAGCAAAAGTGGACGCCATTCGCCCGACTATTCCCTGTCAAGATACCATTGAGCAAGACTCTGAAATTTAGTGTCAATTTTTCCAACCGCAAACAGTAACTAAAAAAAAAAAAAAAAAACAGGTCACAAATTTAGATGAGCAGAGGGAGAGTCGGAGCGGGAAAAGGCTTGTGGCAGATGGCATGTTCATCGGAGGTCGGAGCATTAAGGGATTAATTACTGATTTTGAGAGAACTAGTTAGCGTGGAGGAAGGAGGGGAGGAGCTTGGCTGAGGGGAGGAGCCAGCCGGCCGCATACATCGGTCTGCAAGTGGATGCGACCGGCATCGAAGGCGAGACGAGCATTCGCATGTTTATCAGCCTCCTCTCGTGCTTGTTGCAGATGTCGGATCAGGGACGTCCAAATTGTTTTTTCCCAAGGGTTCACACAAGAGCACTTTTGATTTGCCTCACGTTCTAAAACCACACCCATCGGTATAGAGGGAACGATGGGGGGGGGGGGGAGGAAACACACGCCATGTCAATTGCTGGTTTTTGAAAAGCCCTGTTGCAAAATCATCTGCCGTGTATTTGTATTTTGTTCCCGTTGTCTCCTGTCCTCTTCCCTTGCTTCACTCCGTGGCGCTCCCATCGCAGCAGACGGCGCTCATCGAGCCCCCTTCCGTGCCGGATGTTCCTGTTCACAGATCACAGGCTCTGAACTCCTTGCCCAGGTGCCAAAAAACACACACTCTCCGTCTACATTCCCATCAACCCTTTGCGCTTCCTTTTTGCAAGATGGCCGACACCGCATGACACCAGAAACCCTCCCCCTGCACGCAATATGTTTCTTGGTTCAGCCCTTTTTTTTTTTTTTTAAACACTGAATAAACATAAATTGTCTTTCTTACTAATTCCGGCATGCTAAAATGGTATGATTTCTTTTCCATACTGGAGGAATAAACCATCTTGAAATTGTGGATATTGCACAATTTTGCAGTACAAGCAAGCAAATAATGAATGAATTTTGCCATCATTAATGGATGCGTTTGGAGTATGACAGAAAAATGCATCATACGCTATGTTACATGCCCGATATATAATCTGTGTGTAATCTCTCTCTCTCTCTTTCTCAGAGCAAGCAGAGGCCCCGTTTGCTTGCAGGATTTCAAGCTGATCGCGGTGCTGGGCAGGGGGCACTTTGGCAAGGTATTAACATGCCGTGCCATTATTCATTCCATGATGGGACGCCCTTTAAGCTCTTTTCAAAACTATCGGTCTGATTCTTCTTTTTATTTATTTATTTTTTTTGATCAGTTGATGGTGCTGAATAGCCAAAACACATTTGAAATAAGAGACCAAAGCAAATGACATATTGGCCTGAGTTCGTGCTGCCCCTTTGTGGCGATTTGTCAATTTACCTCCGACTCGGAATGACTGCTTGTAGTTTGCCGGCTTTTAGCTCGGGCTGCGGTTCAATGATGAATTGATTTTCACAATATCGATTGAATATTTTGATCATCAATGAAGTTGTCAAGTCATCAATTGCTCGGAATGTTTATTTCCTCTTCATATCATTGAAGACTGCTTCACGAGCGTGGGAAACCACCTCCCCCTCGGATAGACACTTGGGTGACCTTTGACATCTCTTGAACATTAGAACCAAAAGTCCACCCCTTCGCTTTTCGTGACTGCTGGAAGTCATGAAGCCTTCAATCATTGACACATCAATCCAATTTTGGCGACTGCCGCCGATTCATATTTTCTCAGCTCTAAATGTACTTTTTTTTTTTTTTTTTTTTTTTTTTTGGGGCTCTCCAGGTGTTGTTGTCGGAATACAAGCCGGCAGGCGACCTGTACGCCATCAAAGCCCTGAAGAAAGGAGACATCGTCACGCGGGACGAAGTGGAAAGGTAAAGACCAAGCCCGCCGTCCCCCGTCGTCTAATATCCGTCCCACCTTGACTCTCACCTTCATCCCTTCGGTCCGTCTCCCCTGCTTGTCTCGCTTCAGCCTGATGTGCGAGAAGCGCATCTTTGAAACCGTCAACGGCTCCCGCCATCCGTTCCTGGTCAACCTGTTTGCGTGTTTCCAGACGCCAGAACACGTGTGTTTTGTTATGGAGTACACCGCCGGAGGAGACCTCATGATGCACATCCATACCGACGTCTTTTCAGAGCCACGCGCCGTGTGAGTTCAATCAGTGACCCGGAACGCGATGTAACATAACAAACACAAAAAGACGGTGATCTCACCGTCTAACTTGGATTTAACTCCTGCTGCAGAATAATTTCTTTTTTAAATAACTAAAACGGACTCGATAATTATCATGCGGGGCGCACGAGACCGTGCTATTGATTTCAAGAGAAAGTGGTCGTCTGCCTCATCATCCCCTCAACAACCAACCGACAAGTGGCCATCCAAACAATCCCTCTGTTTTTTTTTTTTTTTTTTTTTTTTTTTAAAGGCTTTTCTGTTTGGCTTCTTTGTCAACCGTTTGCTGTGCCACAATGTCGTGTGATCTGCTCGTTTTGTTTTATGTGTTCTGGGAAATATGGTGGGATGGAACAAAATGTGAGAGGAAAGCGAGCGAGAACAGCATCACAACAGGAACAACAACAATACAACATTAGAGTTGAGATTTGACACGTTGCTGAGTTCAGGCAATCAAAAAAAAAAAAATGTGACGATGAAGCTGCGCTTTGGTTGAAATGGGGCAATTTGTCCACCTTGACCGACAGGTTCTACTCTGCTTGCGTTGTCTTGGGTCTGCAGTTTCTTCACGACCAGAAGATTGTTTATCGGTGAGTGTCGTTCTTCCAAAAAGACAGCGACACGTGCATTCGCTTGATAGGAACTCTTTTTTTTTTTTTTTTCCTTTTTTCTTGTTTTTTCCCTTCTCAGAGATCTCAAGTTGGACAACCTGCTGCTTGATGTTGATGGTTATGTCAAAATAGCTGACTTCGGTCTGTGTAAAGAAGGTGAATCCTTCCGGCATCCACCCCTTACTGTACACATTCGATTTTTTTTTTTTTTTTTTGGATTACTTTTAACCAAATGTCCCCGGCCCCACCCCATCCGCAGGCATGGGTTATGGGGACAGGACCAGCACATTTTGTGGGACGCCTGAGTTTCTGGCCCCAGAAGTACTGACGGACACCTCGTACACGCGAGCGGTCGACTGGTGGGGCCTCGGGGTGCTCGTCTACGAGATGTTGGTCGGAGAGGTGAGAGGCAGCTCCAAACACTCGCCGGCTTTTCAAATCACTCTCTCGTGGCAAGTATTTTGTTTTCTGGGTGACTGTTGTTTGTTGGAGATGCACGGTGAACGTGTCAAAAGGAGTTTGTGAATAAATGAAGCGCCTTTTTGAGAAATGATGACACGGTCACGGGGTCACGTTGGCATCTTTGAAAGAGAGACATTGCCAGTGGTTTTATTTATTTTTTATTTTTTCTGCTCACAATCTTGTTGAAAGCACTCAGTTGTCATCGTGCGTGGTTGTTTCCATGACAACCAGGACTGACGCAACAGCATTGAAAGGAAACTCGAAGATTCATTGTTGTCGACTTTGTCAATCCCCGAAAGTGACACGGGGGGGGGTTTGCTGGTTATCTGACGACACCCTCCACCACACGAGACATTCGCCTTTTCGCATCAAGACTGCAAATGAGGCTTGCATGAATCCGCTACCATTTATTTTATTTGTTCATTTTTGGGGGACCCCGCCAAAGAAAAAGCGAAAAACATTTCGGTTAATTGTAAATTGAGGGACGCCGAGGTCTTGCATGGCCGAAAATTCCATTTGAATTGTAGAGGTTGCACTGCTCCGTAGTTCATAGAAGACAGCAACGAGCTCACACGATTCCAAAGTCAAATAATGCACACGCGTTGTTTTTCAGTCCCCCTTCCCGGGTGATGATGAAGAGGAGGTTTTTGACAGCATCGTGAATGACGAAGTGCGCTACCCGCGCTTTCTCTCCAATGAGGCCATTGGCATTATGAGACGGGTAAGCTTTGGACTTCCCAGGACTTCTCATCATCAATTTTGGGGGGGGGTGATCCTGATATGTGGTATTCGGCAGGATATGGAAAATCAAGGATGTATATACTTTATGTTGAGATACCTTCATGTGATGTGGTTTGTTGAATTTTTGTCTGCGCCGCAAGCTCCTGAGAAGGAATCCTGAGAGGCGGCTGGGCTCTGGAGAAAAAGATGCTGAGGATGTGAAAAAACAGCCTTTCTTCAGAGTGAGTTGGAAGTAAAAATACGAATGTTATTTTCAAACGAGATTCTCTGACTACGCCATGTGGTTTAGGATACGGACTGGGAGGCTCTCCTTCTTCGGAAAGTCTCGCCGCCTTTTGTCCCGTCCATCAAAGCAAAAGAGGACGTCAGCAACTTTGATGTGGAGTTTACAGCCGAGGCTCCGACCCTCACGCCGCCCCGCGAGCGACGCAGCCTTTCCCGAAAGGAGCAGGACTATTTTAAGGATTTTGACTATGTGTCTGACCTCTGCTAGGGTCCACAGTGTAGCGGACGGCCACTGCCGGCCTCAGACTCAAAGAGGGGAGGAGGATGGGATGGTTAGCTGCAGGAACTCATGAGATGAACAACTGGCTTGGATCAGTGGGTGGGTGTGTGTGTGTGTTTGCGTGCATGTGTTGAGTGTGAAAGGGGGGAGGAAAATCAGCCAGTATGTGATCGCGTGTCTCGCACATCTGCAGTGTCAGTGACCTGCTGACCTTTTGGACAATCTGGAGGGGCTTTTCGCGGAAATCGAGATGATCACCGAAGATAATCCAGATTATGTAGCAATGGAGTTGACATGGTCCCGCTGTGTGCACTGTCTGGAGTCGGCATCGTTGTCGGCAAAATGCTCAACGAGCCAAAAAGTATCAGTCGGAAGCTGGTTATCCTCACGACAGGTTTTGGTCTCTCATCTTGTGTTTTTTGTCTATGCTGTGTCTCACACTGACTCAAAACTCGGTCAGTCCTGAATGTACGTCGTCACTGTCAATCATGCGCTGCTTCAAAATGAACACTCGGGGGCGCCAAAGAAACGAAAGTCAGTTTACTGTCAAGTCAAATTCCGTTTCTTTTTGTTGATTGTGTCAAAAAAAAAAAAAAAGAGGCATTTGTAATACTTTGTCCTATCCTGCTGTAAAAGATGTGTTGTAAACGTTGTTTTAGTTTCATTAAATCACTTTCATCCACTTTCACGTTGCAATCTCTGCATTTGAAGATTGGAAGGCGCTGATTTTCATCCCGACAGCTTCACACTCAGCTGCGAAGCGCTCGAGGGAAGATTGGAGATCACAAAAAGCAGAGTTGGAGTACTTCGGCCACCAGACCAGGCCCCCTTAACCTGAGATAGGATGTTTGCCTCGGAAACCCCGGAGTACGTGTCAGCCCAGCGAGACTCCCAACAGTGCCTCAAAAGCCCGGATCAAATCTCCGTGATCACGTGCGGCTGACATATGAGGCCTCATGCATGCCAACGAGACACCGGAAATGGCGTAAGTGATTGACGGCACACAGATTTGCTTAGGTGGGCCATATTGAAGGAAGGGGCGGGGCCAGATCTGACCTTTGGGCCTGGAGTTTGACACCTCTGAACCATCAGATAAGTATATCTCTATTTTGGTGAAACCAGCGGAAAGTCCTCAATGCATGATGGCAACTTGACAAAGGATGGATTGAGAATGCACTGAACAATTCAACAAAAATGCTATGTATTTATTTATTTGATTTAAATTTATTATTTCATGGTCAGCGAAGCATTCAAAATATCTGCGTGTGCAAGTCGCCGCCCCCTTCCTCGACCGTAGATGCCCACAGTGTCCCCTCGTACTCCCCTCACAGATATTTCTCACAAGTAGCACCTCAGCTGCAAAGATGCATTGAAGCGGCCCACAGGTGAGTGTTGTCGCCGGTGCAGGATTTGGAGGGTGCGTGTGAGTGCGTGCTTGTGTGTTTAGGAAGTGAGTGAGCGAGCGAGTGAGTGGGCTGGGTGGGGACGGATCGAGCTGTGGACACCAGTCTTTGCAAAAACGAGCGAGGCAGCAGCTGGAGCGGCTCCGTCTCAGGTGAGTTCAGCTTTTGGGTCGTTACTAGAAAGTAGTTTGGGTGGAATTGAAAGGTCATAACAAAACTAACGAGATGTTTTGGAGTGACTTTTGAGTTTCAGTAATCGAACGAGACATTGCTTTGGTTGTTGGTGAAAGCAGAATTGATTGAAAATGGAAAATAGTGCCTGTCTGCTGGGTTCTGATGTGTCTTGATGATGCTCCTCTTCAATAGGATGATGCAGGCCGGCCCATCGCTTTAAATCTTTCACGATGCCGTCATTGTCAGGAATGAGATGGACTGTTTTTTATGTACTGCTGCTCTTCTTGAGGAGACAGGCAGGTGCGTAGGCTTATTTTCATCCCCAAGTATGCACGCGGCATTTCAACGGCTCCTCTCATGGATCCGCCGTAACCCAACAGCGTCCAGTAAAGAGAGACAATGTTCTGTGGCTCGAGTGGGGGCTCTCCACCCAGTTGAGGCCCTGCTGGAGAAGTTTGAGGCGGGCCCGGGCTGCGCCGCCAGAGAGAGCGGGAGCAAGGAGACGCATGTCATCGCAGTGGGGAGAGGAACCAGCGGCACTGACAGCATGGTAACTAGCACTCATCATACACAGGTAGAACTGTACCTTGGTTCGATAGTCACAAAGGCATCAAAGAGACCCACATCCCAAAATCCTTAAAAATTATATATTTTTTAAGTGATGCAACACCACCATCTACAGGAATGTTTTAGTCATTACAAGAGATTTATAAACCTGAGTTTCACAGACAAGCTTGCATGCCTCCCTGTTGAAAAATGTCCTTCAGCAACATAGAACTGTGGCCCTTTTCCCTTCACAGGTCACAATATTATTGAAGCCGTTGTCTCTAAGTTTGAGCAAGTCGGCGTCGAGAAAAATTTATTTACTCCTCAGCTCCAAGCAACCAATCAGCTGGAGGCTGGAAGCTGAGAGACTGCCCCCTGACCTCCCTGTAATCGTCAAGGCAAGTGCAGCCTAGCTCAAAATGTTTCGGTTCCAAAAACCTGCACTGTGTTTTTTTTTTCTTTCTTTTGTATAAGGAAGCGTGTACAACCAAATTTATGACATTCACTTAATTGTGTCGACGGCTCCTTGTTTCAGGTGTCCTCAAACTCCAGCGTACAGTCCCAAACTCTAAGTTTGCTCGTCCGGCCACTGCATTGGCTCCCTTTCCGGCCGCGTGCGCTATACCGCTGGGCTCTGAAACACCACGGTAACCTGTCCTCTCTGACACATGTTACCCATGGAAACAGAGTCTATGTCCGTCTTGGAGAGGGTGAGCCACTGCCGGACCAACCGTTGAATTCTACTGTCAAATTGGGCATCCAAAAAAAAGACAATCGCCACACAACGATATTTAAAACAACTGTATAATTGCCGAAAGAAGTGCCGGTAGCTTATGCTAACATTCACTGGAAACCGCCGTGGACATGCTAATGATTAGTATCAATAGCTGTACTTTTGAACCTCCTCAGCATTGACCGTAAATGAAGAACGGCTGGTATTACAGCATCATACTGAGTCGCTTACAGTCGTTGTCAAACTTCTTCTTCATGTGTGTCTGCATGACAATTATACTGCCCCCCAGTGGCCGAGGTGGCACATCAGAAGGAGCGGTGGTGCTCGTGGTGAAACAAAGTATTTTGACAAGGAAGCCATATCAACCAAATCATATCAAAAAAGTCGATTGATACTTATTTTATCTGCTGTATTTGATCTATAAGTTGGTCACCAAGACAGAGGTTCAACATCAAGCTAAATTTGAGACAGTGCCCAAGCGCTCTTTATTTTTATTATTTAAAATAATATGAAGGGATTTTAATACTTTCGAAATCTTGTAATGACGCAAAAGAAGTTTTAAATACAGCACATGTTGTAAAATCCATCTTTTTTTTAATCTCCCCTTTGCAGATCTGACCCAGCCTCCTGTCTGCCAGTTGAAGTCAATGTTCGTCTCCAACAACTACATGACTTCAGACCTGCAACCGCAGGAAGTGCAGGGCTGCGGCCATTCGGCAGCAAGTGGAAACGACCCAGAGGTTCAACATCAAGCTAAATTTGAGACAGTGCCCAAGCGCTCTTTATTTTTATTATTTAAAATAATATGAAGGGATTTTAATACTTTCGAAATCTTGGAATGACGCAAAAGAAGTTTTAAATACAGCACATGTAAAATCCATCTTTTTTTTAATCTCCCCTTTGCAGATCTGACCCAGCCTCCTGTCTGCCAGTTGAAGTCAATGTTCGTCTCCAACAACTACATGACTTCGGACCTGCAACCGCAGGAAGTGCAGGGCTGCGGCCATTCGGCAGCAAGTGGAAACGACCCAGAGGTTCACGTCATCAAACTCCATTCCGCAGGCTCGGGACTCTGCGGGTGAGTCTTCTCCATCGGATGCCGCCGTCAAGTTCTTCCTTACACACCACAAAACTGGAAGATGCACCGTGTGACGGCACTAAGCGCATTTCAAGATGTCTGCTCCAGCTCACTGCAGGTGGAGGTGATCGTCTCCCTGGTGGCCCCGTCGCCCGATTCTTGGAGGCAAAAGGTGGTGCTGATTCTGAGCAGTTCGGTGCCAGTCAACTGGGCCGTCGTTGCTCACGACGTCCGGGGTCATATCTTGATTCACGTGAGGGTGCAATTTCTATCTGATTTTATTCCAAGGGAAGATGAAAATGCTGTGCTTCTTCTCCATTTTTTTTGCCTTGTAACTGTGATGAGTGCTCAGCTAATTTGATCCACCCGAATCTAATCAAATCTGTTTTTTAAATGACATCCAATGAGGCCCGCTGGTGCTTTTGCAACAGCTCACCATTTTGCGCACGTGAGTGTGTGTGTGTGTGTGTCTTTTGTGTAGTCTTCTAACAGCGTTTCCCCTCCCTACCCTCCTGAGCCTGAACTGAGTCTGACGACCACACTCATCCCCGACCTGTCCACCATACCAGACCTGCTTGCGTGGGCCAAAGAGAACGGCTACCGCAACGTGACCTCTTACACCGAAGCCGATCAGGCCAATCGCTTTGTCATCCAGCTGGTTGGGACCAAGGCAGGTCAGGACCGCGTGCGTGGCTCCATTTTTTTTTCCATTTTCCATTCCACTTATCCTCACAAGGGTCACGGGCGTCGAAAGGTACCTGACCCGAAGTGTGCGTTTGCATGCTTTTCTTGGGGAGCTCTGGCATTTCAAAAGCATTTTAGGTTATTTGATGACTATCAGCGAAAATGAAAGTTTTCCATTTTGCATCATTTTACAAGCCTAACCGTGTAAATTCTGACCCAAATGATCCAGCTCCAAATTCACGGTTCTGTAACTGCTGTATGTTGCATTGTACGCATGTGCATATTTACTCGTGTTTTGGATACGGTTGTAGCGATGAAGGCCATTGCTGAGAGGCCTGCGTGGGCTGAGGAGCGCCACCTGAGAGAGTGGCTCGCTGGTGGAGCGAGAGCCCGCCGAGGCCGAGACGGTTTCGCAGTGCAGTGTGAAGACGGACGCCTCAGCGTGGCAGTGGACCAACGCATCCTACAGGTCTTTCATGCAAGGCTTCTCAAAGTGGGCCCTGCGAGCCTTATTTTTCCAAAGTAAAATCATCTCTTTGCAGCGTCATCGTTTGACGAATCGAACGGACTTACTCCTTGGCTTCTGTACTTTGTACTGAAGCACAAAAAATGTGACCTCTTATTCTTTCAGAGTTTTCCTGTGCCTGTTTCGGCCGTAACATTGCGGGACCCAACATGCCAGGCTCAGTCCAATGGGAGTCATTTCCTGTTAGTGTTCCCTGTCATTTCCTGTGGGACTGAGGGACAACTCCTGGGACAGACTCAAGGGGTGCAGTACAAAAACACGGTGAGGTCCACAAAACACGAAGATTAGCTCATGGAGAAAATGATTTTAAATTTTACAGGGCCCCCTAATTGACCCCAAATAAAGTTCAGCTGTTCTAACAGAATTTTACTACCGTTTTAGTAGAAACTTGGCGACCTTGTGCTATCGCTGACTAGTATTTTTGGAACTGTTCATAATTGCCTTTCTACATATTTCATATATATATATATTTAGGTGCTGTTATGGAAAGAGCAGCCTGCTACCACATTGTCAAACAATGAGACTGATTGGATCTCCAGCAGTTCACTTGGAATCCAAGTAAGAAAAGCGCATACTGATATTTTTGCTAGGCAATAGGGAGCACTGAAGTGGACGCACACCTACCAGATCAAGAGCAACCGTATTTTGAGACTACATTTATCACTAAAATGCAAGAAGAATGCAATGCTCTAAAACACCGATTTTATTTATTTATTTATTTATTTTTCCCGCCGCCATATTTAATTTTGATCGAGTCCAAGAAGTGTGTCTGTCTGTCTGTGTTCTTTTGCTAGTTCAGCTGTTTGGACATCGCGGCCAGCGCGCCTCAACTCGTTCCTGGTGATGGTGATGTCAATCCTTCTCAGGCCCCCTGGGTTCCCGTGCCTGATCCTGGACCGTTGCACTTTTCCTCACGCAGACTCAGATCGGGCCCTTTGCTTCTTCTGAAGCTTTTCGTCACTGAGAGCTACAAACAGCGACGCGTTGGACCCTGCGTCATCACTGCTGACCAGCGTGTTTATGTCGAGGTGCCTATTTTGAATTTCCTTTTCCCTTTTGTAAAGTTTTCCTGAAAGGTTGTGTTTTGAATGTTGAATGAACTTTTTACCCGTCGTGACTTTTCCAAATTCCCTTTTTTTTCTCCAAAATGTAACGAATGTTTCTACATCAGTGCGTCATCCATTATTTTTTTTTTCGACTGCAGATTTCTGCCAAGGGCCCCTTCATCGACGTCAATGTAGAATAAACTTTTTACCCATCGTGACTGTTCCAAATTCCATTTATTTTTCTCCAAAATATAACAAATGTTTCTACATCATCATCCATTATTTTTTTTCCACTGCAGATTTCTGCCAAGGGCCCCTTCATCGACGTCGCCGAGGTGAAGTCATGTGTTGTTTCCCCTCTGTCGGACCCCAAAACCTCTTCGTTCTGGGCTGTCATACGCAACAACTGTCTCGCAGACCCCTCTCTTACCTTTGCGCGTGCAAAAGTGGAGGGGGAGACCGAAGATGCTGATGAGCAGGAGGAAGAGCTGGAAGACAGACTTGATGATAAAAAAGGTTCCGAGGAGATCAGCGATGAGGATGACGGCGTCTCCGTTGACGACAAAGGCAAACGCAAGGGGAGAGAAGAACCCTCGCGGAAGGACGCAGTGATAAGGCCGTTACGATTTAGTTTCATCCTGCGACCAGTTTACAACGTCTCCATGCAGTTTCTCCACTGCAGCCTTCACCTCTGCGTGTCCGACAAGACGACCAGGGAGCCCGCAAAGAAGAGAGTCAGAAAAGAATGTCCGGATGGTAAACGTATCCCTCCGCTTGTGTCGAGGACACTTGGACAGCAGGTACGCGACCAGATATGACGCAAAATCATTTGTGGATCAAGGATCAAAGCGCATTTAGTGAAACATCAATTTGCCTGTCATTCTTTTTTTTTAGCTTGTCAATGATGTCTCATGATTTCTTCTTGGCTCTCAAACTGTAGTGTGAGATTCGAAACCTGTCCCGCCCCATGGTGGTCACTCAGCCTGTGACCTCGCTGGCACGTAAAGCGCCGAAGTCCTCCACGGGCCTACGAACCAAGAGGCTGAGTGTCTCTCCTCTGGCCGTTCCCGCCTCGCCACAACAAAGAAGTGAGTGCGTCTTTGAGCATATATCAAGCGGGCAATTCTTCATTTTAAAGCTAACCGAGAATATCTGTAGGTTCTTCATTGCAGACCGGTCCACTGATTGGAATCGCCTTGGCAGCCTTTGTATTGGGTGTCAGTTTGATGGCGGGGCTGTGGTACGTCTCCAGTTCCACAGGTAATACCATGAACTCAACTGCGACGTGTGTAATCAGCAGCAGGCAGAAGATGAGTAATAAGTCAAATATGAAAAAAAACTTTATTGGATTATACATCTTCAACAGTGTCAATGAACACCATTATATATTATAAATAAATTGATTCACTGTATCTATACATCAAGTCACATTTGATAGTTGTCCAGTCAATGCATGTATTCATGATTTGTATATTTTTTTTGTGAGTTTCCCGCCAGATACCATTTGAAGGAGAGGTTTACTCAACAGACCCGACACGTGGAGGTCACAGAGCGCGCGGCCCATCTTCTCCGTCAGATGAGTTGACCAGCTCGGTTTAAAGGTGAGATAACTGGATTTAAGAACCTGAGCCGTATGTGGTCTACTTTTGAAATCAGAAGCCAGCAAATTGTTTGTTTATTTTAAAGGGGGGGTGGAAACAAACAAACCTGACAATATCTCATCTCAGTGGTGTTAAAAGTGACGAAGAAATGGCAAAGAAACACAAAGTCGACACACATGATTTGCCCTTTGCGGGCCACATCAATAATGTCAGCGGCCAGATCGGGCCCCCCGGGGCCATGACTTTTGACACCTGTGCTTCGTACAGTTATTGTGATTCAGGTCAGTTTTCACTCCATTGCAACATGGATGCATCTGTGTAAATTCCATTTCCTAAATGGGACAGAGTACCATACAGATTGTCAAAACTTTGCCATCAACGGTTACAGAAAATGTGTCACCATTGGTGAGCACCTGCAAAGTGTGAAGACCGTTTTTTTTGTTGTTGTTGTTGCTGAATCTCTTTCTCAGTGTTTCCTCCAACAAACGGAACACATGGTGGGCTGAGAGGAGTTCAGACAAAATACTCTTGTATGTGAAATACTCTGAAATTGCTGCCAAGGCAGAGCGTGACCTACGTGACCAACATCCCTCCTGCTCATTCCGTCGTTGTATAAATCCAGACTAGGTTTTTACAGCTGCTGCCTATTTAAAACTGGAGGTATAACCACGTGGGATTATGTATTTGCATCCTCAGAAAATGAACTGGAGGCCAAATCAGAGACGGCCTACACCACCACCATTTTCCAATATCTGTGTTCTAGCAGGGAATATCCGTGACTTTTAGCTATTGTCACCAGAAGATCTCTGGTTGCAGACTGGCTCATGTTCATGTGCTACCGAACTGCCATTCAGAGCATCTTGTGTCACCAAAGTGTGGCTTCGCTGTTTCGCGGATTCTTTTTTTTTTCGGTGCCATTTTTTTTCCACGCATTTTGTTCTGCGTCCTGATTGTCGAAGGACTGAAGATCAATGTCAACAGTCTCCACGCCTCGTCTCTGTCCAGCTTGTCAAATTTACGTTTGCAACAAAACAGGTTTTGATCTTTGGTTTAATCCTATGGCACAGTATTGTATTGTGTAATAATCGTAAAAAATAACGCTGAGTGTAACTGTCGCAATTCCATGTTCATGGTAATATTAAATTCATGTGCCTCTCCGCATGATGGTGACGGTTTAGGTTATTCTGCCCCCTGCTGTTAAATTTGAGGATTACATTGAGTGGTGAATGTTGATTCGACGCGCGTCATTTTGAGGAAAGAGACGCAAGCGTGAGCTGCATTCGGCAAGGGCTTCGATTTATTCTATTACTCCTAAATTCCCGGTTAGAAGGCTAAACGGTATGTGGCTATGACTAATGTGTGTGGGTTTTTTTTAATGCTGTTGAGATATATGTAAGGATGTTGTACTTCATAGTTTTTCACCCCAAAATGGTGTTCATCAGCTATGGACGTGTGGACAATAAAGGCTGTTGAACGTTGGTCGACTCGACCATTACGAGCAGTCACACTGACCACTTCACGGATTTATCGCGGGTTCTTTTTCGGGACGCAAGCGCAGCGATAAACGAGGGTTCACTGTACATAAGCTTTATTGAAAAATGAAAAGAACAAATGCAATTTTTTTTCCGAGATAAAACTTCCACAATCAATCTTCTTTTGAAATAGCATGCACATTGTCGCGTGGCACAGGTGTGCCGCAGTCAGTTTTGCGCGTATATGCTTCCATAGCCACACGGAGTCTCTTGGTGGCGCTGTAGGTCGACCCTGCGTTGGAAGTTGTGGCGACAGCGCGGGCAGCTGAACGGTCGGTGACCGTCGTGTTTGCGAGTGTGAGTGATGAGGTTGGAGCTTTGGCTGAATCCTCGGCCGCACACCTTACACACGTGTGGTTTCTCACCTGAGTGCAGAAAAAGAGGGCGGGGCCCACTCAATTGGACATCCGACACTCGTACGCGACAACTACTGCACCTCACCTGTGTGGATGAATGTGTGTTTCTTCATGTCTGACTTCTGGTGGAACCTTTTGCCACAGTACTGGCACGGGTAAGGCCTCGTGTCAGAGTGGATGAGCAGATGTGTGGACAGCGTCGACGAGCGCTTGAACATTTTTCCACACACCTTGCAGCCAAAGCTTCGTGCCTGTTTTGGCGAGGGAACGCGTCACTTGTAACTCGACCGTGCATTCAAGGTGATCCGGGGGACATTACCTTGGTTCTGCCAAAGCTGTCAATTGCAGCGAAAGTCATCGAGGACATGTCGGTGGCTTGGGACCTCATCAAGGGGACAGGAAAGCTGCCGCCGACATGAGCCTGCAGATCGTCTTGCGAAAGGGACTGAAGGATTAAGACAGGTCATCGTGGATCAGGGGGTCACCGACCATTTTCACGTTGAGTGCCGCTTCTTTGGTACTGATTTAAGTGAATGGCAACCAGTTTGATATGGCAAATAACGGAAACTCACTTCCACGTGTAGATACGGATCATGCGAATGAGATATCAACGATAATTTAACAAGGGAGGAAACATAAATATTGAGACGCAACAACTTGTTTGTGTAAATGTCTGCAAGTGCTCAAAATTTTCCACATTGCGAGGATTTCGCCTGTTGTTGACTCCTGTGGTGGATTTATCAGGACGGTTGTGGCTTCTTCCCACAGTCACCGTCAGTCCAAAGAGATTCAGCACGAGGACGGAATCGAAAGATCATTCTTCGTTTGGATTGACCTTTTTTTTTCAAATGTGTTGATCGTTTAAGTGCTACTGTATGGTCACCAAAATATGAGAGACGCAGCTGAGGGCTGAATATGGCGCATTGCAGTTCAAAAGCACTTTGCTCAAAAGCACTTCCTGACCTCGTTCGTTTTGAAATGAACATTTAGCTGTCAGCGGTTTGTGCGCTCGTTGTTTCTCGGGGTTTCTTTCCCAACTGTCACTGAATGGAGTCCTACTTGGAAGCCAAAGTACCTTTTCACAGAGCGGACAGTGGCTGAGTGGAGATCTGAGGTCCGTATGCGATGCGCGACACAGTAGCGTGAAGACCAGCCGTTCGAGTTGTCGCTCTCTATCTGACGTCTGGTGTCTTTCCGCTGACCAAGCAGAGTCCCGCACTGCATGAGTAGTCCTCTCACCGGAGTTTGCTGGAGGAAGAAACCGGAAGCTGTTCTTTGAATGCAATTCATGAATGTCTTGGGTTGTGTTTGCAAAATCACGACCATTCTCTCTACCGTGACCAAAAAAAAAAAAAATCCTTCGAGTTACCAGATGCGCAGAGATCCTTTGGAAGACATTGTTGACTCTGCAAAGACGTTCCCTCCCATGGGGGATCTCCCTCAGATGTAGGCTCCTTCGGGAAATCGGGCCGCACGTTATCTTCGGTGTCCGCCGGCTGAACTTGATCAGCGTGAGATTGATCCCGCCGTCTAAAGAAGTCCTTGGGCGCACCAGGGGGGTGATTCCTTTTACCCCTCACAAGAAACGACCGCGGCATGGCACAACCTGCACAAGTCAGGCAAGACTTCATCCAAGCGATCGTTAAAACACCTGCTGGCACGCGTTCGTTTTGAGATGCCAAAGCTTGAGGTTTCCAACGCAGCCCGCCACCTGCGAAACCTTCTCGACTACTTCCAGAATCGCTGTTAACTGACGACAGCCTATTTGGAGAGCCGGCAAAACAGCAAAGCTCATTTGATAACAAGGGAGCTAAACTTGATACTTGATGTTCAACGCAAACATTAAAAGAGATTTGTGTGCAAATTGTTTTGCTGTCATTTGCAGTGGTGTAGAACTGCCGTCAATCTTTAGATTCTTTAAAAGCTTTTTTTTTTTTCTGGCAATGCTGTCTTTAAAAATAGCCAACAGTCAAAATTGTTCCATGTCACTCGTAGTTTTGCTCCCCTGCAAATGACGACAATCAAAAGAAGAACTCTCTGCCAATGTGATTCTGACCGAAATTTTATGAAAGCGAACTTTTACCGATGAGATGTCAGAAAATGTAACACGACAAATATTTCTGACATGATATCATTTATAATCATCTAACTGGGCAAAGCTTCGATATGAAGTTATTTTCTGACTATATGCCACCTATCACGGTAATATCATGTTGATAATCTCCATATTTAGGAATGATGCAACAATCAGAAATGTATGAAAATTCCAAAACAAATTTAAATATCAGGTTGTAGTACAGCAAAAGGTTTTCTGTGGCAAAGTGCTGTCCTTACCTCTGAAGCGCACAGACGAATGTCAGTAACGTCCTCTTTTCTCCTCCCGAGGCGCATCTGCTGGTGACACGCCAAAGTTTGAACGCATTTTGAAAAGTTACAGAGTGAGAGACACCCTTGTTCCAAAACACCAACCAAAAATGGTTGCATGCTTCAAAAACATTTTCCCTTTCACTTACTCTTAGCGATGTTCTCACATTTTGATTTTCAAGTACCACATATGAGGATGTCCATTCGGTCCGTTGTGAATTCACATCTTCGGATAAAATGGATGGCCTTGAGTCACCTCATGATGCGGACGCACAAACTGTGGCTTGAACATCCCACCATCAAATTGAGTAATGAGATCCAAAAGCTCTGCACGGGTGAAGAGGGGGTTTTCTCATCCATGATACAATTTGGTCATGATGAATATAAAACTCAGGCTAATCTGGAAGGGTTCTGGGACATTTTTTTTTTTCTCATTGGGTTGCTGACTGGCGAAGTCGTATCACATCAAATATAATACTTAACTTCCAGACTATCATTTAATAGTCTCAAAATAAAACTAACTATGAATTCATTCAATCTTGACAAGTGAACGGTTTCTGTCCCCAGGCTGACATCGAATCATTGAGGGCCATGAAATACAAGAAACCAAAACAGTCTTTCTAAGCATTATGGGCTTTTTTTTCCCCTTTTTTTTTGTACACATCTTCTGCGAGCAGGATAAGAAAACGCTCGCCTGCCTTGATGTGCATGGAGAAAGGCACGTCGCAGGCCTGTGGTCGGTGTGGTGGGGGGCTCGCGAGTCTCTCCGAGGGGCTGGTTGGGGGAGCAGGCGAGATAAGTGCAGGGAAGTGAGACGGGCTGGTGGGTTTGGTGGGTTCATGCCTCACTGGCGGTGGGGTAGGGGGTCGGGGGTTTCAAATCTTGCGTTCTTCTTATGGTTGTGGCAAGCCGTCTTTCTAAGAACCAGAAACATGGAGAGGATGGAAGAGAAAGAAACATGCCTACCATGACAGTACAGTATGTTGCTTTGTTTCACAGGTTGACTTTTTTGGAGTGTTCCATCAACCTGCCATGCATGTTTTTGGAGAGGAAAACGGAGTACCCGCAGAAAACCCACACAGGCGCGGGGAGAATCTGCAAACTCCACACAGGAAGGCCGAAGGCGGAATCGAACCCTGCACTCTGCGCTGTGATGCAGACGTGCTAACCAGTCGTCCGCCATGCCACCCGATAAATTTACGCTTAAACTCTAATGTGGCATTATGCAGCGCATTATGATTCAAATTCAAATCTGGCTTCCTGTCCCTTCTTATCTTCTGTCCAGGAGCTACAACGCGTGACACCCACTTTTGGTTAGTTAGATGCATCTGAATAGCTAGAATATTCAAGTTTGTATTTTACAGTCATGTGAAACCAATACATTAAATGTATTAGTCTCTGTTTTAAAATCGTGATCATATTGATGGGTTTTTTTTTTCCTCATGATAATTTCTCGAGAAAGTGAGTTCGGGTTTTTTTGTGAGCTGAAAGCTATAATGACCAACGTAAAAAAAATGAAATAAAACCATGAAAAATGCGGGTGGTGGCACACTGTGGTTTCAGTTGCGGGACTGGTGTCAAAAAGTGTGATGCCACTTTCCCACAGCCAACAGCTTCTATATCTTTCTCTAACACCAACATGCTACAGTTCTCGCACCTTTTCAACTTTCTTCCACTTTGCCTTGTGATGATGATTTATTTCAAGTCACGATGGCAGAGTTGGGAACTTGATATTTTTGACTAAAAAAAAAAGAAATCGTCAATACGATAAACGATAAACAACTGTGATGGTAAAACAGGATGTATAAACAACCCACAATATATTTAGAGCCATGGGAACGACAGGGTGTACTTCACACACACACACACACACACAAAATCCCACATACGGGGAAATATGCAGATTATAACCATTGAGATGGTTTCCATCAAATGATTTCAAAAGAATGTACGTTACATTATGTACTGTGCTATATAGTGCATACATACATACCGTACGTGCTCTATTTGGACACTTAATTAGGTACGTTTGTGTAGGCCCGAGACCAGTGACCTAAAGTTGGGATGCCAAAAACATGGTACACATACTGTATGCGAATCTGGGTGTGAATGTTTGTTTGTTTTTTTTCTAATGTCCGGATGGATATACAGTAGTTCAGTGTCAGTGTAAGAGAAGTATTCATTTAAAAATGTTTTTTTTTTTATTGTACACACAATAAACATAATTGCCTCGTTGTCACTCAGATACCTTTAATGCATGTTTTCGAATAATCCTGATTGCTTTATGTTTGGGTCGATGTGGGCTCCATGAAAGTTATTTCGGTATGAAACTAAAAGAGTGTAAGACTACTGAAATATTGATTAGGGTGTCGATTAAAGATGCATCTTGTTCCCGGGTTTCAATTTGGGATTGAAAACTGCGTGCACACGTCCTTCCCGGAACACTTGTCTTTTTTTCGCGCCACATGTGCCGCTACAAGCACCACCTTCACAGTGATGTCACTTCCGTATCAGCAAGCAGACCAATAAAGTCAGGTAGAATTTCTTGTCAGCCAATGGGAGGCAAGAAAGACCGCTTCCTGTGCGACAGACTCGCGGGAAAACAGACAGGAAGAAGTTGAGTTTTGCCGCGAAAAGAGTGACCGGAACCATTGTTTGTAGAACTTTGACGGTCGTGGGATTTTTGTCCTAATTAGCAACCCTTGCTGCTTGAATCATGTCTGGCTTTGACGACCCTGGAATCTACTACAGCGACAGCTTCGGAGCGGGAGAGCAAGGCCCAGATGAAGGTGGACAGAAGCGGATTCAGATCAAGAAGCGATTCCGTGAATTTCTCCGACAGTTTCGAGTGGGAACCGACCGAACTGGCTTCACATATAAATACAGGTAGGTGGTCCTCCCTACCAAGGAAAAACAATCGTAGAAGTTCAATTCCACGTTTAAAGAGTGCATTGCAAAAAGTTCCGATGCTAGTTCCACTTGAGGAGTACTTTTCAAAGGAAACGGTTATGTATGTTGAGCAGATGTGCCGAAAGTTCAGCTACTTACATTAAAAATAACATCAAACTGAAATGAAAAAACTCACAGTAGATTACATTAATAATACAAACTACGAAATGTATTTAAGTACAAAATTAAACGTATTTTTATTGTTAGTCGCATGCAATGCCTGTTTTGATAACTTTGCACAAAAGGGGAAAAATATCTTAAATAAAGCCAAAGATGGGGAATATCTTCGAGTTGAAGTGCCTGAAAAATATTTACATCGTGTGCTAATCCCAGAGATTGAATCAGGTAAGGAACCATTCATTGCAATTCCCTACTGAATTATCTCCACTTGTATGAAAGTTTACTGTCGCTTACTTTGTTACGGCTTTGTTGGTCTTTTTTTTTTTTTTTGTGACCACAACAAACAGTTGGAGGAGGCTGCTAAGGAGGTTGCAGATGAGGTGACACGTCCACGTCCAGTTGGAGAAGAGATTGTGCAAGACATTCAAGTCATGCTGAAGAGCGATGCACATCACGCCTCTCTCCGCAGCCTTAAGGTAAAACATATGCAACCAAACCTTGCTTAATTTCTTAACGCGACTTTGTTTATTTCAACTCGTCAATTCTTTCCTCTGCAGTCTGAGCAGGTGTCTCATCTGGTGAAAGTACATGGCATCATCATCTCCGCGACACCCGTGAAGGCCAAGGCCACCAAGGTGTGTCTGCAGTGTCGAAGCTGTCGTCATGTCATCAACAACATCTCTGTGCCTCCGGGCCTGCAGGGCTACGCTCTTCCTCGCAAGTGCAGCAAGTAAGCATGACTTGGAAAATAACAATGAGCACACACCGTCGGTTTTATAACCGAATTGTCCACGTTCTCTTTCCACAGCACTAATACCACTGCAAGACTGAAGTGCCCGATGGACCCCTATTTTATAATCCCGGATCGCTGCGTTTGTGTTGACTTTCAGACACTCCGACTGCAGGAGTCTCCAGATGCCGTACCGCATGGAGAAATGCCTCGGCACCTTCAGCTCTACTGTGACAGGTTAATATGTTCAACCTCAAGCTGGCAAAAAGACATTTGAAGCGCATAGCATTTTAATTGAATATAATGATGTAAATGTCACAGGGCAAATCACTTGGTGTGTGGCTGCAAACTCACAGTCCTTCCTTTGCCAGATACCTGTGTGACCGTG